CCTGTTACTTTCCAAATCCCAATAGTAACCAGGAACAGAAAGTGAATAGAGACCCTGTGAGACCTAAGTGCATTTTCTGGTCTCTCTCAAGAACTCTGGAGTGACTAGGGCACCACGGGTGACCACACGATACGGCCACTTTGCTCAAGCTAAACAAGCCTGATTTGATCATTGCTTTAATAGGGAAATCTCCCCATTATGTGTGCTTCTTGAGGAACATGGGACAGAGGGGTGAGCACTTAGGTAGAAAGATACCGAATACATATACTTACATACGGGACCGCCTTCTGCCACCAATTGCCTCCCACTGGCCAGTTCGCTCCCACAGAGAGGGCCTCCTCAGGATGCCGTCGGCCAGACAATGTCGGCTGGCGACCCCCAGGGGGAGAGCCTTCTCTTTGGTGGCACCTACCCTTTGGAACAATCTACCCCCCGAGATACGAGTGATCTCCGACCTCCAGACTTTTCGTCGGGCCCTAAAAACCTTTTTTTTTCAGTTAGCCGGACCGTCCTGATTTTATGGTTGGTTTTAAAATTTGATATGGATTTTAAATTGATAAGTTTTAAATTACGGGCCAAATTTATTTAATTATTTTAAATCTATTTTTAACTTTTATGTATAAATGTTTTTTATCTTGGCTGTTCACCGCCCTGAGTCTGAAAGGAGAAGGGCGGTATAGAAGTTCGAAAAATAAATAAATAAATAAATAAATAAATAAATAAATAAATAAATAAATAAATAAATAAATAAATAAATATACAGAGAATTTCATATTTTGTGTTTTATTACCCTGTTTCCCCCAAAATAAGACATCCCCTGATAATAAGCCCAATCGGGCTTTTGAGCACATGGCAATAAGGCCAAGCACTTATTTCAGGGTTCAAAAAAATATAAGACAGGGTCTTATTTTTGGGGAAACACGGTAGTTCCCTTCTCATACTTTGAAAGATGGGAAGAAAGTAAGAATTAAATATAGGTAGTTCTTGACTTATCACCTTTCATTTCACAATGGCACTGAAAAAAGTGAGTTGTGACCATTTTTCACACTTCCTACTGTTGCAGAATCCCCATCAGTGGTGGGTTGCCCCCGGTTCGGACTGGTTCTATAGAACCGGTAGTAAAACCAGCGGGAGGCTCCACCCACTGACCCTGACATTATGAGAAGCAATCTGCGCATGTGCAGAAGCAAGGTGTGGGTGATCCTGTTGTGAACCGGTAGTAAAGATAATTAGAACCTACCCCTGATCCCCATGGTCATGTGATCAAAATTCACACTCTTGGCAACTGGTTCATATTTATGACTGGCTCATATTTATATGTATCCCAGGATCATGTGATCACTTTTTGTGACCCTTTTACAAGCCAAGTCAATGGGGAAACCAGACTCGCTTACACCCATATTACTAACTTAACTGCGGTGATTCATTTAGCAACTGTGGCAAGAAAAGTCATAAATGGGACAAAACTTACTTAACAACTGTCTTGCTTAATAACTGAAATTCTGGTTTAATTTGGGGTTGTAGGTCGAGGACTGCCAGTAATACAGTGGTAAATATGCTTCTAAGTTAAATTCCTTTACAGTCTGGTTCTGTGAGCTGCCTATTGCACTCTTTTGGTCTACCATCTTCATCATAATTCTCAGCAAGCTAAACAAAACTCTGTCACATCCATTATATTTTTTTGCTGAATTTTTCATGTCTTCCTCTTCCTTTGACTTAATGTTAAGCAGATAACCCTCAATTTTCCCATCCCACAATCTTCATTTTGAATTGGAGACAGGATCTTATTCTACATCAGTTTGCATAATACTTAACTCCTACTTCAGTGAAGAATATAAGTAGACTGCAGAATGGCAGAACAGTTGTTCCCTCTCCACCCCCATCCTCACAAATGCACACACTAATGAGATTATTTGACATAGTGAGCCTGGCTGTTTTCATCAGACATTTATATCTGAAAAAGGATTTGCCTTTGATCATAGAATTACCGTGTGGTTTTCAATGGTCACTTTGCTCAAATATGCAGTACAGATCACAAGTGCGGTGAGGCATCATGCTGTAAATATCAACCCCTGTAGCCATTCATCTCATCTTGCTAAGATTCCAAGTCCTACAACCTTAACATTCCAAATTATGCTGTTTTATTTATTTATTTATTTGATTTGATTTATATGCCGCCCTTCTCCAGAGACTCAGGGCGGCTTACAGTACATTAAGCAATAGCCTTCATACTTTTGTATATTTTTATACAAAGTCAGCTTATTGCCCCCACAAACTGGGTCCTCAATTTTTATTACTGTAGGCCACATTTCTGGACTCATTCAACTTTTTTTTGTAAAAAAAAAAGGAACAATGCCTTTTCTTTTGTTTAATTTATTTTCAACCTGTGTCTCTCACCTATCAAGATGAATCTGAATTTAATTCCTGATTTCTAGAATATTAGCTGTCTTACTCAATGCGATCTGTAAATCTAATAAATCTTCTATCCACCAAAAATATTAATAAATGTTGAAGAGGGATAGTACCAGGACCGATCCTTGTGGCAAACTTCCTCACTCTAGTTTGATAAGAAATCACTTAGGAGCATCCTTTCATTATTATTTTCAGTTTTTATGTACTTCCAATCTTGCTAATCAAAATGTGGTTGTGGAGACACTCTTTATCAAATGCCTTGCTGAAATCAACACCTGTGATCCTCTCAGAAAATTTCCCCATTAAAAAAAATGAGTGAAAGTTAGTTTGATAAGGTTTGTTCATATAATGACCCCATGGTTTTCTGGATGTTTACAGGTCATATTTATGAACTTCTTGACTTGCTCAAAAAGTACCCTGTTATTAATATCACTTTGCCTGATCTGTAGTTCTTCTTTTTTTCCTTTCTTGAAGTAGGACCTTTTGTCTTCTTCAGTAATTTGGCACTTCACTTTTTCTCCAAGATTTCTCAAAAATAATACTTGATAAGATCATAAGGATGTCCCTTTAGTGCCCTATGATGCAATTCAGTTTGGCCTACTACCTCAAATAAAAGAGATGTTCCCTCACATCTAGAAATAGGTATCCCAAAAGATATATAAAGTAATTATTATTTTTCATATCTCATACATTATTTTTTTGGTTTGGTTAAAATGTTTGCAACTCATCTATAGAATCGGACTAATTAACATTTCCATTTCAAACATGTGCAAACAGAGCATTAATCATAAAGTGTATTGAAACTGTCATTTAATCACCAAGCAGCCAAGTAGGAACAGACAAGCCAAACCTACTTTTAAGTTCTTGGATTCCATTTGGAACAATGGAGGTTTTTTTTCTAAATCCTGGATGATTCATCAAGAGGAGGTAAACAAATAATTCTCAGGAGCAAACAGCCCTCAGTGGCATTGCCTCTTCCTCAGGTGAATACCCTTTGCTATATTCTAGTGTCTCTGAGGATTCTATGCTTTTTTCAGAAATAAATTTCTCCATACTCCTAAATGGATCCCTACAATTTACATCCAGGAAACTTATTAAAAATTTAGGTATAAATCTAAGAGAGCTTAAATTCAGCTCTGCAAAGTATGCTGATGTGAGCACATGTGTGTACACACACACACATACACATTAATTTTGCAACACTCTGGATGTCCCCAGTGTATTCTTTGCTTGGAGTTGTATTTGTTTAGCAATCAGCTTTATGATCTTGCCAGAACATTTTTTTCACAGAAATACTGTTGTTTTTCAATTTTTCTCAATGTTGTTTATTGTTTTGCCTATTTGTTTCTTAGCAGTCATGCTAAAATTAATTGAATGGAAAAGGGAAAAAAAAACCCCAAGTTTCTTTCAGCTCCCTCAGCTAACATTTCATAAATCTCTTAAGTGGGCTGATATGTTTCAGGTCAGGAAAATCTTCATTAGTGCTAATGTGTTCATCAGGTCTAATTTTGATTTCTAATTTCCCAGTACAGTCACGCTTTTTAAAAAAATATTCATCTAAACATGTTTTTTATAAATAAATAAACATGGTAATAAAACCATGGATTGTATCCAACGTACTAATAGCATAAAGGAACCCTTGCAAGAGAAATTTTCTGTCACTTCCTCCCTTCTTCAATCTCTAGTCGAGACTTTCAAAAAGATCTGTAGTGATTAAAGAGTCTGCTGGGAGAGGATAATTGGGGGATTGGCCACTTGTGCAGACTCAGTATGGCCTATATATTTGTGGTTCAGACATTTGATTTATCACTTCCTGGTAATACTCATTTGTGTACTAGATGAAGAGCTTTTCAAGTATTAGAAATAATTTCTTGATGGGGCTGTCGACCAGGATTGCTCTGTGAAGTAGAATATTCCCCATTACTGGAGATTTTCAAGGAGGGGCCGAAGAGCCACCTTTCAGAAACACTTAAATGATTCTTGCACTGGCTATGAACACCAGAAGTCTCCTGAAGTCACTTCATAGGACACACCGTTGTCCTCTGATTCTGCTGTTTGGATTAGATGTTCCCTGGCATCACCTCCCATTCTGAGCCTACCATTCTTTTGTTAAAATATTAGGGATATTTGACAAACCCACGAGGAGATCCACAGAGCTCAAGTAAATTGAAACTAGGACTTCAGTATCATGTGCAAGGCTTTTCAATACTTCTACGGTTGTTTGTGAAATCTCTGCTGTCCATCATAATTCAGTAGAATTTTCTCTTTGCAAACTTTCCCAGTCCAGCCCATACAGCAAATACTATGCCAAATCAGAACTTGCAGATTGTATCCTAATTTTATGGTTTGCATTACGAGGAGAATTTTAATGCTTTATTTTGTAGAATGGGTTTATATGTACGTGGACTCAAACACACACACATACACACAAGCCTAAAAAGAAAAGGTCTCCAAAATTTTATATTTTGCATTGTCTGTATTTTGGCATCGGATGAGGTAGCCTTAGGAATAGGTTTGTAAGTCTTTTTTTCATAATTTGATTGCCAAGATCAGCCTATATTCTAATCACAGGATATTCTCTTCTGCAGCACTTTAGACATATTTCCTACATTGGTATCTCTAGCAAATGCTACCCTTCCTCCCAACAGACGTTTTGATGGGATAGATATCTCTGAAGTCCTGTTCGGGTACTCAAGCAAAGGACACCAGGTATGGCATTAACCTTCTGAACACTGAGTAGCAACATCCACTACTTGAAGGTTGCAAATTCTGCACTTCCCTAAAATTCCTCACATTTCAAATGATTATCATTGTCACAAACAATGTAAATTTAACATTGCTCCTTGCTCCTGCTTTATATTTTTTATATATATATATTTAAACTGGTTTGCTTTATCTTGTTTTTCTTCTGAATATTTTGAATTGGTCTTAAAATGCTCCAAGCTTCCCTGTGTGATTCGCATGGAATTGAAAAGTTCATTTAAGTTCATTTAAAAGTTCATTTTAAGACCAATTTTTAGGTTCAGATGCTCAATTCTTCTTAGGGAAATACCTGTTATTCCATCTCATAAAAGAGAATGGAATGCAGTTTCAAGCTTGAACTGCTAGCTGTAAAACAGTCAATTAAATCCTCAATTGTATTTCATAAGCATAAATTTTACTATCAATCACACGTGTATTTTATGAAATATAATTAAATAGTTACATAAAGGCATTAAGACAACACATACTTTTTTGCAAAATTGATCCGCTTCAGAAAGATTGCTCCTACTTGCACTCTCATTCTTGTTGAGCACGGCAGTTGATCTGTAAACAATTTAATGCTTAAGCAAAATTCATCCATTATCTCTTAGAAACACTATGACGGCTCAGCGGTAGAGCATTTGCCTTGCATGAAGAAAATCTCTGGTTCAGCCCCAGGCCTGTACAGGGAAGAAACAACTTCCATCTGAAACCAATTGCCAATTCTTTTATATAACATGTTGTGAGGACTAGTAGTTTGACTTCATGCACAATGAGTGTGCATGTGTGCAGGCACACTGTGGCTGAGATTCTCAGTGTGCTATTTAAAGTTTCTTTCTCCATTTACATAACATTGCAAAGGCAGGAATAGTAGGAGGTTATTCCCAAGTAAGGAATGTATGTAGGTTTGTGCTGAAGTAGTTCCATCCTTTGATTTGAGTTCTAATAATTACAGTTATACAGCAGTTGGTTATAATAACAATTACTTCTTTTTTTGCACAATAAAAACATTTATGTAATCTTTCTGCTTTTTATTGCTAAAGCTTTTTTAAGAATAGAAATGCAGAATTTTGTATATGATTTTTTGTCATAGTAATTTCATTGTGTACTGTCCTTTCCGCCTGAGAAAAAGAGCTAATAGCTTCCCTTCTAACTTTGTCTATGCCTTAAGAAATTGATGACATTTCCATCTCTGAACTTTCTTCCCTTATTTTCTAAAGAAAATCTTTTAAGGTTTTTAAAGAAATTTCAGTGGAAAATTGTGCCTTTACGAATAACGTTCAACTTGTTGCTTTTCTTGGCAATTTCATACAATTGATTTAAATTCTCCCCTTGCAGCTCTGTTGTTTCACTAAGCAAAAAGTCCAGGACTAATCAGCATTCCAAAATCTTTAGTCCCCAAATTCTATGCTAACCTGCTTTCTAAAAGGTGATAAATGCAAATGGAGAAGCCCATAAGTTCCTTCCAAATACTTTCACTGAAGAGCTCTGTTTAAGATTTCTAAGCAGGAGAAGATGATGATGCCTTTTTCTACAACAGGAGGAAGAAGGAAACAGGCTCCAGAAATTCTACATCTAGCTAGGGGGAACAATTTGTGTGTTTTTCAAACATATCCTTTTTTTTTTCCAATTACATGTTTCCCATGCTAGAGTAGTAGAATAGTTTCACCATCTTCCAGTGATTGCACTAATTTGCTCAAAGGAATTATTGAGATTTTCTTCTAGAATTGTTGTAATATCAGTATTGTTCACTAAGCATATGTTCTCATGTGCTCTTAAATCATGATCATCCCTACAATTAAAACAATTAGACCACCTAACTTCAATCTGTTGCTGGCACCTCTTTCATCACAAATCTACTTCTCCGAGTGGTTTTGTAAGCTCTCTTAAAACTGATTTTCTTTGTGAACAAATGGTATGAATTAAAATAAAAATACAGACAGGTTTCCTGAAAGCTGAAGGGAAACATTCTATCTTTGTCCATTGTGGAGGCAGTAGCTGAGGTTTTACATAAATGCATATTTTAAGAACATATTTAATTTAATTTAATTAATTAAATTTATATGCCGCCCCTCTCCGAAGACTCAGGGTGGCTCACAATACATTTAAAAAATCATTATAAAAAGACATTGAAAAATTAAAAACATTAAAAACTCATTCACACCATTCATGGCCGGATCTCGCCAGATCACAAGAGCGTGATCAACGGCCCCAAGCCTCCTGGAAAAGCCAGGTCTTCACCGCTTTTCGGAAGGCCAATAGGGTGGGGATGGTCCGGACCTCAGGAGGTAACTGGTTCCAGAGAGCTGGGGCAGCCACAGAGAAGGCCCTCCCCTGCGGGCCCGCCAGCCGACATTGTTTAGCTGACGGGACCCAGAGGAGACCAACTCTTACCGGTCGCTGGGAGCTATGCGGCAGAAGGCGGTCTCGAAGATAACCTGGCCCTGAGCCATGTAGAGCTTTAAAGGTAATAACCAACACCTTGAATTGTGACCAGAGGCCAATAGGGAGCCAGTGCAGCTCGTGGAGAATTGGTGTAATGTGGGTGTACCTAGGTGCACCCATGACAGCTCGCACTGTCTGGACCAACTGTAGTCTCCGAACACTTTTCAAGGGTAGCCCCATGTAGAGTGCGTTGCAATAATCTAACTGTGAAAGTTAGAAAGTTTGCCTACAATACTATATTGTCTTGACAGTAAAAATGATAGGAACTTTTTTTTAAAGAGATAAAGTTGCAGAAGTAGTTATGCCTGCATTTCACAATTGTTGGTATTCTTACTATAATTTAACATTTTAATCAGCGATCTAATATTTGATCAGTGAGAAAAATTACTATCATTTCCTTGGTAAAATATGCACGCTGCTCAATTTGGTATGACGATGAAAGTGGTGGTAGTCAAATATTGATAAAACTAGCTATGTTTTTGTAATGTCAGCTGTTTCCTGACAATACTGATATCATATATGATATAAGGGAGATGTAAGATTCAGGCTGTTCCCGCAACTGTAATAGAGTGCTGGAATTTATTTTTTTATGCGTCTCCATTATTCTGTTTGTTATAAAATCAAGTCTTGTACAAATGAATTAATCTCTGTGTCTGTAGTCCTGAGGAGCCTAGAAATGTGTTTAGGGCCTTTGTAAATGTATGAAATTGAGAACCAAGGGTTTAAGGGTTGAGTGAAGGTACATAAATTGGCCTTATTGGAGGAGAAATATATGACAGAGTTGAGATGCATCACTATTAGAAGTAAAAGAAAGCTTTCTTTGAGGACTCTGCTCTATAAAACAGATTTATGATTGTTTCCTATTGGCTCAAGAATGTGAATTTCTGAAGCAGGCATGCAGAAAAGAAACAAGTGAAAGGACCTGTTTTAATTGCAGGGTATGGGAAGAGAGTTTGTTTCAGAGGCCAACAATAAATCTGTTTTCCATGTATGGCATTTCAGTTCTTTCATCATGTTCAGAATGTAAAGACATTTTTTTTAAAAAAGGCCCATTGAATAAAATGGACCTTAATCTTAGGAAATGGAGTTAAATACTGTATATAGGTTTCATGTGGCAGATATATTTCTTTTGCCCTGCTCCTGTTTTGTCTTGCTTAATTAGTTTTACATATTTTAAAAGCAACAAACAAGCCTAGTAAATTAAATATACATGCTAGAGAGAGTCATTTCTTTTTTTGAAATTTTTCTGATTCTGAGGAGTGTGCAGAGTGCAGCCCAGCTAGATTTAAAAAGTCCATGGAAGTGGAAATAAGCAATTAACAGTTTGGATTCTTCTACCGGTAAGTATTAATGGGAGCAACATAATTAGATGCATAATACTGTTTGAATTTGTGTATGTACAGTTCTTGATACTCATTGAGTTTAGTTGATTGCTTGCAGACATTTCATTACTCAACTAGGTAACATCGGTTTGAATGTTGTCATCATTCACTCACATTGATGAGGTTACCTAATTGGGTAATGAAACATCTGCAAGAAAACCATCAAGCTTAGAAAGCACCGAGGTCTCCACAGTTCAACCCTGAGCTACAGGTATTCTCTTCTATTGGAATGTATGCAACTTCCTATGACATTAAGCAAAAGAGAGTACTTTGTAATCTCCCCAATTTCTTTTTCCTCCAGACATTATTCCATCCCAACAGTGGTGCAGCTGGAAAATACGGAGAAATACAGTCCCTTCGGCTGAACCAATATAAAGCCTTTTATCTTACAGGTATGTTATTTATTGGGGTTTATTAGGTATTTCTGAATATTCCCGTAGTGTATTCTTCTAGTAATATGTGTTTGAAAGTAATGAAATGTGAATAAAAGAAATTTTTTACAAGTTAGTTATTACTAATCCCTAGTATCAAAATGTGTTAGTGTCCTAGCAATTATTTGTTTCCAGCTCTTCTCCAAACGGAGGAATTATATAATAATGTTCTACATACAGAACAAGAAAGTATTTCCTCAGAATTTATTTTTTAAAAATAGACTGAATAAAGAGAGAAGCATCATCAAAAAATGATGGTTTTATAAAGTCCTATTAAATGGCATCTGAGTTTATTCTGGTTAGGGAGTAGACTCTCTGTTTTGCCATGGTTCATACCACTATGCCGAAGTTCAGGTAAAAAGTTTGATTTTGTTGAGTATTTTATTTCTGGATTTCAATAGAAGAGCATTGGGAATTACAGGAGGATTCTATGGACAAAGCTGAAATTGAGAAAATATTTGAGAAGATATGTAATGAAACCTTGGTATGAGAACTGCTGCCTGATGGGAGTTCAAGAATTCAGCCTGTGAGAGAAGGAGTGTTGATTGGCATCCTGGGCGTTGTTATAGGCTGGTGGTTCTTGAGGTGTGTACTTGGTCTAGAGGTTCAATTCTGAGATCGAGGTTCCCCAAGGTACTGTACTTTTAAGGGAGACAAAATATACAGCTCTCTCTGGGCTTATGTTTCTTTTATTCTCAGACTTTTACTGACATTTTAGAGGATTTCAATTTACATTCCACCATGCTCACTGAATCTTACTCTTCACACAGTTGGAGGGCTAGTCTGTGAAGTTCACTCTTGGCTGGCTCATACCTTCCAGCCATGAAAGGATCAACTCCCCCGACCCCACCCAGGCAGTCACATATCCCGTGTCTTTGGAGGAAAGAAAAAGCATGTGAAAAGAAAAAATAAAACAATGATATGATATTTTCCTAGGGATACCTGCTCCTTTTTAAAACAGCATTTAAAAAGCAAAACAGCAGGACAATTTGATGGTCTTCCGTATGTCTTTTTTTTTTTTTTGAATAGTCATATAAATCCTATAGAAGCCTATAGACACTTGCAGGGGTTGGGCTTCTGAGCTATAATTACCAGGTTCTTGCCTTGTTCTCTGCCAGATGGCATAGATATCATTGCATTCAACCAATAGCATTACCCTTCCTCCCACAGTGTTTTCCCAGTGACTCCTCCAGAAGTCTATAGTTAGAGTCCTAATGTGTTTCTTTCTCTATGTCCTACCTACTTTTTCTCAGTAGGAAAAAAGAGCCAAACTCAAAGATAATGAAGGAGATGCATACATTGTCAAAGAGAAGACAAATACATAAAAAGCACTTTAACAAAAAAGTGAAAAAAATATGTCATTGTAACAAGTTGCAATTTTACATACTTTCTAAAGTTGTTCAAATATGTACATTTCTAATACATTTATATGACTATCATTTTAACTTACTGTATTCTGTATAAATATATTCCATATTTTATACTTGTCCATACAAATTTACCCCTATAGGCAATCCACTTATAAATGGCAAGTGCAGTCAGGTCTTCAGTCCATTGAGTGAAAGGGGTCATTTAATTATTTTTCCAATCCTGCAGTATCAGTCTTTTGGCTGTAATAAAGACACAGAGAATCCATTTACATTGTCCAGTTGTCAGATTCCATGTATTCAAAAGAATATTATCCTCTGAAAAGTATTGCTTTTGTTGCACAATCACGTTTATATAATCTACTACCTTCTTCTAAAACTTGGTAAGTGTAAAACATTGTAGAAAATATTTTAAAGAAACATTATCCTTAATACATCTCCAATAAAGTGCTGTTTTTGATTACTCTTTTCTATACAAATGTAATGGAGTCCAATAAGTTCTAAATATTATTTTGTTGTTGTGTAAGTTGCAATTTGAGGTCATTGGCATTCTTGCTATAGAAGTTAATGCCTAGGCAATATAGGATTCTCTAATAATTCTTTATTGCATTGTTTTCTGAAATCCACATATCAAATTAAAATATTGATAACAAATAGCTATAAAAACTAATGGTAGAAGGGTTTTTTTTAGTTTTAAAATATTTAATAAGTTATTCTAATATCTCAGGTATCTCAGAAGCTGAAAATGCTGCTTGTCCAAACAATGTTGTTAAAAAAATCTTGTAACTGTAAATGTTGTCATTGGGTGATATCTGATAATTTATCTCTAACACATCGTATATATTTTTTTTAAAAGCATCATCTAACAATTGGTCCAAAGTCAGTACCTCCACTTTCATTCAATTTTTCCATATTACCAACTTTTTCCCAATTTTTAATTTTGGGTTTCCACATAAAATCAATTTTGGTATGGGCAAAAAGACGTCTGTGCCCTATTATTAATGCTTGGCACTTTTCAGTTGTGATGGAAAGAACTCTTTTCAGCAATCTAGTATTGATTTTCATCTCTTCTTTCTCCATTCCATCACCAGGTTACACAGTCTGGATGCATTTATAAATGCATCCAGACTTTGCAGATAAAGCAAAGTAATAAACCATGTAATGGGTCTTAAATAATGTGCTATTGGATTATGCCAGTGATCAAAACCAGCTGATCAGTCAGGTTTAATGATTGTGGATGTATTCTTGTTTTTGCCTTCCATAGCTTTGAGGAATGAATACAGGCAATTCTCAAGGTGGTTCTATTGCAGGAACCCTTGCATTACATATTTCACAGATTTTAGGCACATGAAGCTCAAAAGGTAGTGAAATAGTTAATCGCTAAATAATAGAAGGTGTTAAAGCTATACTTTTTTTATTGCAGACCACATTTTTATAAGGAAAAGAAGTCTGGAGGAGGGGGGAGAGATCTGTTTTTATTTGTTTCAGATAAAATACATTCATCTGATTAGCAGATCTGAAAGACAAACCAGTGTTTTCTGCCTTGCAATACTACAAATAAATAAATAAATAAATAAATAAATAAATAAATAAATAAATAAATAGTTCCCAAGATAATCTTCGCGTGTTGAGGTTGGTCTGGCTGGATCCAAAACGTAAGAGCACAAATCTGAGAGTAGATTTCCAACAATGGAATTGCATAGAATGACTTTGAATCCTGATGGGATATGGCTCTGAGGCTAAATCCTCACTTATGCAGTCATCTATGTGGCAAAATGTTGTGGGAAAATATGCAATCTGCCTTGTACAAACAATCATGGAAGATTTCATCATGATAATAACCAATGTCTCTAACAGGAGTGGAAAAACAGGTATTGAATGATTGAAGATTAGTGGAACTACAAAGTATCTCCATGAGATCCTAGGCCTACTCTTCTGTAGAAGCGTTACGCTGGCTGTTAGAACAGTTGGCCAAGAAATCCATCATCAGTATCTCCACATGCTGAAAAAAGGAATGTGTACACTAAGGAAAGCTATTCTACTGATGGCTTATCTAGATGGAGTAGGCAAAGTCTCTATGACTATACTCTCTTCAACTGCCACTTCTGTGACTAGTGGATTGAAATACAGGACACACACATTTCACTTTTTGATCATGAGCCAAAGTAGCCAAAGTGGCTTGATGACAGTCCAACTGTTCAGATATAAAATCGCTAAATTATCTCATGCTATATCGTTGATGGTGAACCTATGGCATGTGTGCCGGAAGTGGCACGCAGAGCCATCTCTCTGGGCACGTCAGCTTTTGCCCATTGCTCTTCTGGGTTCCAGCGTGCATATATGTGCCAGCCAGCTGGTCTTCATGGATGCGGGAGCACCGGAAACCATAAGAGCAGTTCCTTGGAGCACATGCGCGCGCTGGGAAGCTGAGCTTCCGGTTTCTGGCGTGTGCATGCACACTGGTCACCTGGTCTTCCGGTTTCTGGTGTGCATGCATGCACGAAGACCAGCTGGCCGGCGCGTATGCACATGCCGGAAACCAGAAGCTGAGCTTCCCGGTGCGCGCATGTGCTCCAGGGAGCTGGTCTTCTGGTTTCTGGTGCTCCCGCGCCCATAAAGACCAGCTGGCTGGCACACCCGGAAGAGCAACAAGCAACGACTGGCGTGCCCGGAGAGATGGCTCTGCGTGCCATTTCCGGCACACGTGCCATAGGTTCGCCTTCAGAACTGCTCTTCCTGTTTCCAGTGCTCCCCCCCGCGCACCCGTTTCGGCACTCTGTGCTGAAAAGGTTCGTCAACACTGTGGTATATCATGCACCCCATAAAAATGTCTTGGAAACTGGAAGAAGCTGGAAGTAGATCCCAGCAGCTTCTTATCTTACAGCTTCAACAATGTCTGGACTATACATCCAATAAGTACCATGGTAAAGTTCAACATGCTTTGAAAACTGTCAGTGGTAAGCATCCCAGCCCATACTAGAAGTTCTCATGGGAAGCACTGCTTATTAATAGGATTAGGTTGAGAAATAGCATGCCATACGATATGGTTTTTTGGATCTCTCCATCAATCCAGTAAGATGGAGATGTAGTCCAAACATATGGCACAAAATCGTTGAACTGCTGGTTTTTTATTTATATCCAAGGCAGTTAGAGTGATGGTGCAGGTTGCAGAACCAGTCAAGTCTGCACTGGACAAGTTGTTGAAACAAGGGACGTTAAGCATTCAATCATCTTTGGTTGCCTGGAAGGAAAACAGCTTTTCTGACTCCATCAAGATATGTTCCTAAATGATGTTACGTTTTGCAGGATTGTTTGGTTAGCAATCTAGACAGTTTAAAATATTAAAAAACCTCTTTTTCCATTCCTGTATAGTTCCACAAGTAATCATTTTTTAAGGTAAGGAAGCTTACAATAGTGTAACCTCCCCAAAAAGTTACTTATAACTCATCCTTGAAGTTACTACTGCCATTTCACCACCCCCACAATTGCATTTCAAGCACTTAACAACTGACTCAAATTAAAACTGGTTGCAGTGTCCTGAGACCATGATTTGCAACTTTTTTTTTCTGGTTTCCAGCAAAAAAAATGCCCATTTAGGGAGAAGGCATTCACTTACCAACCACATGGTTCGTTTAACGATCATGTGGTTCAATTAATGACCATGATGCTCACTTTACAACCATCATTAAAACAGTCATGAAATCAAATCAGGTCATATGGTGACCTGCTTAATGCCGTGATGACTTGCGACCAAAATTCTGGATTCAGTTGTGATAAGTGTGTTGAATGAGGACTAGAAATGTAGAAAACTAGAATGTGGAAATGTAATGTGTTTCTATGTACGAGTCATATATTTGTATTTTAGTGATCTCTCTTCTGAAATCTCAAGTAATACATTACCATTTCCTCTGCAGTTAATTAGGTAAATGTTGCCTGTTACGACGCATAATAACTGGTATCTGTATTCATTCATAATTTATCCATGTTCTTTATGCAGTAGAACAGCATTTCCACAACTTTTCAGGATCAAATCCCCTTTTGTAATGCTTATACTTCTCCACCTATGATTTAAACTAACTCCCCTTTTAATAACTCATTGAATTTGTAATTAAAAATAAGTACAAGAACTTGTTAAACATTTTTTAAAAAAATGTGCATATAAACATTAATGAAAATGTGAATTGATTGACATGAAAGGAGCAGAAGTACACCAAATTTAATCTGAAATATAATGCTTTTTCTTTATGAATTGAAAAAGTTTGAAAAACCACAATATATAGCGCAGATCAGTTTTGAAATCCAGTTATTCCTTTGTTTTGTTTGCACTGTAAGCTTAAAATCTTCTTTTTCACAAATGTACATAAAAAGCAGAAAGATAAATTCCCCTTTCCCAATTCCTCAAGTTAATTATCCAAATTTCCTCCAGGCTTGAATTTCTGAAATGTTTTTGTATTTGAATCGTGTTTTATAGTGCGTGCTTGTTCTTGCAAAACAACTGGCAAAGAATGGATTATAATTTATGACTAGGGTTGCTAGAAAAGTTGTCTGGGAAATAGGAGATGAATTCTGCTATTCTTCTGCAAGGCAGTCCTGGGGAAACACAACTTTGCCCTTTACATCTTTGTAATATTTACATCCATTGGCCTTCATTTTCAATGATGAAAACAGGGGAAGTTGGTCATCTCAGTTTGCATTCAGTATTTCCAAAACTGGATTATTCCCCCCCTACAACTATTTTTTGTGACTGTGCATTTGGTTTCACATTTGTAGTTTTCCATGTAACTTTGAATGGAAGTCGTTTAGATTCAAGAATTTCAATCGTATGTGCCAGTGAAAGGTTTAGTCTGTGGACACGTTAGCCAATCCTGTTTGCTTGCTTGCTTGAGAAAAAATTCTGTTTCACCATTCAGTTCAAATACTCTGAAAGCCAGGAATTATATGAAACAATTTTTTTAATGATTTACTTCCAAATACATGTAAAAACTGCAAAAGATAACTAATTAAAGCATTGATCTTCACAAAACTTACAATTTTGATTGAATATGTGAATACTTCCATGTTTTACTGCTAGTTTACAAGACAAAAATCCCAACATAATGATGCATGGAATGACATCCTGTTGCAATTTGGCTGCAAGTATTGTATTTATATATTTCGCTGCTGAGTCTAGAATTGAAGAATTCTATCACAATAGTTACATTCCTTTTCCTTTTGCTGAAATCTTTGGATTAAGTGCTTACCCTTTGGCTGGACTGTACAGGTAGTCCTCGACTTACAACAGTTTGTATAGTGACCGTTCAAAGTTACAACGGCACTAGAAAAAGTGACTTCAGATTTTTCACACGACTGTTGCAGCAACTCTGATCATGTGATCAAATTTATGATGGTTGCAATGTCCCGGGTCACGTCATCCCCTTTTGTGACCTTCTGACAAGTCAGTGGGGAAACCAGAGCCAATGACCATGTTACTATTATAACAAATAATGATTCACTTAACAACTGTGGCAAGAAAGGTTGTAAAAGGGTACAAAATTCACTTGACAACTGTCTTGCTTAGCAATGGAAATTTTGAGCTGAATTGTAGTCGTACGTCGAGGACTATCTTATGCTCAGCCCACAGTAGTACACCCAGATTATTCTTGCTCATAATGTAGAATAGTTGCCTCAAAAGATAGCAGTTAAAAGAACTTGGGTGATTTGTCTCTTTCTAGGTGGTGCCAAAGCATGTGATGGAAGCATTGGTCAGGAAGTTCACCATCAGCCACCTCTCATTTTTAACTTGCAGCGTGATATTCAAGAGCAAGAGCCGATGGACATTCACAGTGCTGAGTATCGTTCTGTTTTGCCATTGGTAAATAAGGCCCTTATGGATATTCTTCAGGATATTGCATCAGATAATACCTCTATAGCAGATTATTCTCATGATGCAGATGTGATCCCCTGCTGCAACCCCCAACACTTGGCCTGCAGATGTGAATCAACTTATTTTTGGAAAAATGTTAAACAACTTCCAAGTTTGCAACCATCTGTGTCCTCCCAGGAGAACTAGAAGTTATGTGGACAAACTGCTACGAAAATTACAACATTCTAGGTTTGGATTTTATATAATAATTTATCTCATTCTACACAATTTAGCTCGACTCATATAACTGAAATATGGAACTAAAATGTTTGGACGGCTATTTGATACACCTTGATTAAGTCCAGATCAGCTAGAATCCAACATCACAATGTTATGTCTCTTTGTACTCTTTGTGCATCACAGAAAAGCAGAAGTGGGGATGTCAGAGCATAAGACAAATAGTACAAATTACAACAGAAAGGCAGGAAAGAACTATATTTTGGTATATTTTAACAGAAGCCATGTGCATTTCATAAAGTCAGTTTATAATCCAAGTACCTCAGAGAAAGTTTGGCATTCCAGGCAGCAAATGTCATCCAAAGTTAGACAATGTTAAATTCGAACAATTAAGAGAGTTGTGATTCTTTTGTAATAATACGATGTGGTTAATTTTTTTATCAACCATTTGCCAATATTACATGTAACAGTTTCTTTTTACAGTCATTCAGACTCATAATATATTTTGATTTAAAAAAAATAGCTCTCATTGTTGAGCTCTCAACTCGATTTGTGTCTGATTTTCCCTGAAAAGAATAATTGAGGCCGGGGAAATAGGCTGCCACTGTGTAGTATAAGTAAAAAAGTTTACCATGAATTTACATGTGCACAGTTTATCCATACAACTTAATCGGGACTGATATCAAGGCTTTTCTTACCCCTTTGCTGCACTTTGCTTCCCTGAAAGGGAAGTGTATGATCGGGGTTATGAATGCATTTATTTCCCAGGTTACATAAGAAGGAGGAACATGAGTGGAGACACAGCTCCTGTTAACCTCATGATGATTTTATTGACAAATATTTCAGCATTCCTCCAACTCTGAAAGTTGGGGATTTCCTTTTATTCAAGTAGATAATTGCAAAAATATTCTGCATGGGTAAATTATCATGCGTATACTGTACAAAGACATAAATCAGTAGGTTCTTTTATAGGTACATTTATACATGACATAAATAAGAAAAGAGCTAGCTGGAGTATAAAATTCAGCTTCAATCAGATGCATTTATACTGTGGTTCTTGAGAACAATGTGCATATACAGTACATTGATACCAACCATAGAGCATTTTAAGAAAATAACACAAAAGAGGGGCAGAATACGTCAACTAGGAAAAGAGAAACATACTGTGTGAAAAGCACTGGAGCGTCTCTGGTCTGCCCCACATTTGTGGGTTCTTCTACATTCCCCCTTGTTTTTCCAAACTACCTCCCATCCGCCGCTCTGTGTTGTGTTGTTTGCCTCTCCTCATGATCGCTTCACTTTGTTCGTCCGGCTTCCACGGCATAAGATTATCTACCAAAATCAAAACAGAACGGCCTTACTTTCCCTGGTCATGTGCCGTTGAGCATGGGGCGCTGCAAAAAGGCTTGAGATGCATGCAGAGGGAAGCGGCAGGGAGATGAAAGTCACGGCACCGTTTCAGTTTTGGCAAAGCTGATGGGTTTCTGGGCCTCCCTTAGGGCTTTGTCCTCAAATGACAGGGAAAAAAAATCTGCCTCGGAAATAAATGTGCGTTGGGATCTAGATTCAAAATATATTCCTAGGTTAAATAATGATTCCTGCAGCGGCTTCACTGCAAACTTAGGACACACTGGATCAGCTTGAAGAATCAGTTATTTAAACATGTAGAAAGAAGTAAGGCAACAGCTCAGCATACTGGCTAAAAGTAATATTTGTCTTGTGAGTTTGTCACTCCAAAGGCCATCATGAGAAGTTGTCAATTAGAGTACAAAACAAGCGGAAATTCTTGTTAAGACACAGCAAGCCTCCCCAGCTCTTTGAAAAGTGCCTGATGCTTCCATTTCTCAAAATCTTAGTCATACTGTTGGTGCTTTACTTCACCAGCTTTTGATCCTGTTAGCAGTAACCCGTAGTTTACATTCTGACATTACAAAGTCACAACTCAACCAGCAAGAGAATATGGTACTGTTGCTGCTACCCATCTTATGCAATGTTAACGCTGAACATGCTCCGTAAACTATTTCACAAGCAAAACCAAGTTGGCTGTCCTAAAGCATTCATGTTTAAAGGCAGATCAAGGCTTCTTGACAGTTTCCATAATTGTTCCCATTTTCCATAGAGGCGACAACTTTTATCATATCCAGAACAATTCCAAGTAGAGAATGATACATACCATCATCTCTGTAATGACATGTTTATTGTATTGGTTCACAATAAAAGACAAATAAGGCACATAAGGAAATGTGGCATATTAGTGGATTATGGATCTCTGGTAATAGTATGTACTGTTTTTATTATTATTTATAATAATAATCTGGCTGTGTGCCAAATCTTAATAATTACTATGTATTCCATCCTGGTATTTTAGGTCTGGTATGGTAAAATTAATTCAACTCCCTTTGGCCTCATGTGCACATCTTTGTAGTTTTCTTGGCAATGATATATTTCCAGGAATTTTTTTAATTTTTAGTTTCCAGTTTAGTCAACAATCCTGATATTTCTTGGCAGTCTCTCCTCTTAATACGGTACACATCTGACCCTGCTTTAGCTTTTTGAGATCAACTCAGATTGGCTAGATCTTGTCATCTAGCTCTGCCTTAGGCTGGGATTTTTGGGCAGATGAATTTACAGTAGATATCCCAAAACGTCACTTGTGATAGTAGTAGATAGTAGTACACTTGAGACTTGCGTTGGACCAGTCAGTCCATCTCTTACTTATTTTTCTGTTTATATCCTGCTTTTTGTTTTTATAAATAGACTCGAGATAACAAATATAGACAATGCTCCTTCCTCCTACTATTTCCCCCCCACATCAACAACCACTCTGTGAATTGAGTTTGGTTAAGAGACAGTAACTAGCCCAAAATCCCCCAGCTGGCTTTCATGCCTAAGGCGGGACTGATATATGTTCCTTAAGAATAAAACAAAACTCTAAATATATATACTTCCTTTTCTGCTGCTAGGGTTCCTATAAGTACTGTACCTGGAATGTATATGGGCCAGAGAACAAATTGCATTGAAAGTGGATAGAGACTGCAATCCTTCATCCTAGAATGTATAAAGGCCCATCTTAAGGAATATTGGATTTGAAAGGTTTCTGTCTCTGATTTCAGGAGGGAAGCTATTAATGGGAGAGAAACCAATGTAAATAATTTCTCCATCGCTTCTGCTCTGCTGATAGAAACCTAGCAGGACTTAGAAACCTTGTAAGTTTTGATGTTGAAGTGTTACAAAAGGAAAGGTAGGATTAACTTGGATAAGAAACACAGAGACGTCTTAAGAGGCTGTTTATTGAAGTCCCATGTTTCTATTTATTAAATTTAGATGTTGTCTAACTCGCATCAATTCTGGGAGGTTTACAAAATGTTTTTTTTTAAAAAAAAGTTCAAACAGACAAAAAACAACATAAAACAAAAAAGAGCAAAGATGGCAAACCCAGATAGGGACGAAGAAAAGAAAGAAAGAAAAAGGGACTTCAATCACATATACCTCCTTTGCGGCTTTCTTTTCATTTCTTTTCTTCATTTTCATAGCTTACTTACTCCATGAATAAAATACTTCATTACCACGATTTTGTACTGTATTAAGGGTGGTTCATAAGTAGCACAGCAAAAAACAAAGGATAAGAGCATGTCTACCAATCAAATTACTATGATTTGAGAGGCATGAGAAATGCTAAAGAATTGTAATCTACCCTCTTCTATTATGGCAGCCAAAGGTAAAATAAAACACATGTTTAAAAACAAATGGAATAGTTCCTTAATGATCTGAACAATATTACTGAGCACAATTAAAGCAATTGCTAATTAAAGCTACTGTATCTGGGCTGCAGAAATCTAGATTAGAACTAGATGGGGTTTTTTTAAAGGTACAAATTTCATAATTTTATAATATTAAAAAACTGCAACACTAGCACCAAGCACAACAAAGAAAGTAATTATACAGTGAAGAACAAAAATCTAAATACTATACATTAATTAAAATTGGATAAATGTGAGTGAATGGCCACTGCATGGCAGCAAAGAGCTATTATGGATTTCGGTATCAATTTACTGTCATGTAATAGCCATCCTACAATTTTACAGCCCAGATAGGATAGCTCTGGAAGCTCAGTAAATTTCTATGCCCATGTATTAATGTAAGAAGTAAAAACTGGGAGAAAACAAATCAGTTTTAAATATAATACTTTTTTTCCTGAATACTGGTCATGGTCATGATTACCTTTAGAAAAATTAAAAAAGAAGAAAACAAACAGAACCCCAAACTGGCTTAGCTGCTAAGAAGTAGAAGGGACATATTTAGCTCTGGCTTCCCTGTAGAATCAGCAATAAATACCCAAATTGAATGCCTTTGGTCTCCAGTTTTAAGTATAATTTTCCACTTACTGTAGCTTTAAGGGGAAATACATATAAGTCCATGCACAGGCCTAGTGAGCAAAGAAACATGGGTCAGACCATGCCATTACAGATAGTCCTCGACTTACAACCATTTGTTTAGTGACTGAAGTTACAGCAGCACTGAAAAAAACTGAATGGCCTTTTTTCACACTTATGACCATTGCAGCATCCTCATAGTCACCTGGTCAAAATTCAGACGCTTGGCAACCAGCTCATATTTATGACGGTTGCAAGTGTCCCAGGGTCATCTGATCACCTCTTGAGACTTTCTGACAAGCAAAGTGAATGCAGAAGCCAGATTCACTTAACAACATGCTACTAACTTAACAACTGCAGCGATTCATTGAAAAACTATGACAAAAAAGCTCATAAAACGGGGCAAAAAATTCACTTAATTGTCTCGCTTAGTAATGGAAATGTTGGGCTCAACTGTGGTCGAATACTACCTGTAGAGCAAACCTTTGTGCACCTGAAGAGGAAATCTTTGGGTCCAACTGATGCCCTAGAGAGAACCACTCATTTCAGAAATTATAGAGTGGCATACCACATCCTCATTTTCCCTCCCAGGTTTAAGGGCCTTGACAAACTATTGAGATGGTCAAGGCAGAGGCAGGTAACAGCAGAAGCAAGACAGGTATCTAAACAAGCTGTAGTATGGAGGTACCCACGACGTCCTGGCTACTTCCAATTAAAATCACTTGAGAAGGAAGGGATCACTTGGAGGATTTTGGGCAGCACTTGTTCCAGGAAGGCTGCTCCCCCATGATCCCATTCTATATTTGGGATTTTTCAGCCACCTCCATCTCATATAAAGAACCAGCTGGAGCGGTCCCTACCCTCAGGAAACTTACGCGTCTTAGAAAAGGGGTTGTTAAATCTTAGGAACAAGCAAGCCTTGACTAAAAGGCCTGGCAAGATTAAAAAAACATCCACAAGAAGGAAAAACTCAAGCCAATATAAACAGCCTATTTGAAAAATGTCCCCATGAAAGAAGTTTTAAGTCCTCCCTTTTAAAGGTCAAGTGAGTACAACCCTTCTTCTTCCTCTCCCCCATTAGATTTTGGATAATGCACCTGCATCAACAGAGACGGAGAAGCTTCAAAGATACGGTCTCAAAGCTCGGTGAATTCAGGCATCTGCTGAGATGGCT